GCTTCCACAAATCGTTTTATGTGTTTAGCGGTTTAGCATTAGCTTCCACAAATTGTTTTATGTGTTTAGCGGTTTAGCATTAGCTTCCACAAATTGTTTTGTGTTTAGCATTAGCTTCCACAAATTGTTTTGTGTTTAGCATTAGCTTCCACAAATTGTTTTATGTGTCTAGCGGTTTAGCATTAGCTTCCACAAATTTTTTATGTGTTTAGCGGTTTAGCATTAGCTTCCACAAATTGTTGTACGAGTTGTGTGGTTTTAGCATTAGCAGAGTATTCTATTGTAATAGATCTTGGCAGTTTCAGTGCAAAAATAAATTTCCCTTGACGACCATGTCGGCCATATTGAATGTTTTAGTGGCTAACTGGATTTTCTTCTTTTTTTTAAAAAAAAACACAGCAAGCTCCTGGGAACCCTGTTAGTTTCTTGTATCTACATGTGAAAGAATTTGTTTAAATATTCAATTATCCGCTGTACTTTTTTTAAAGGAACATTAGATTAAATTTTCTAGCATGAAGTTCTGGAGCCAAAGCTGACTGCTGTTTGAAACTTTACTTAGCAAAACCCAGCAACTCCACATCCTGATGATACCGCCACCATTTCTCAGTGACGAGGATGTCACACGACTAAAAACCATACGCTACGGTTCGGCTTCGTCCAATCACAACACTTTCTCCTTCTCTCCAGGTTCTGGGAGACCTTACTCAATCAAGCCTGTGTGTTTTTCTTGGAAGAAAAGGTTTCTGTATTGCAACCTTACCCCTTAACCTAGACATATGGAGAAGACAGGAGAGTGTTGTGTCACGGAGAACCCAATCCACCTCCTTCAGCAGCGCCTCATGACAGCCTCCCTAAAAGCTTTTTGCAAGATTGCTTTGGAAGTTTATGTAATGTCACTGTTGTCCAACTTTTTCCTCCGGTTATTGTGCCATGGTATATAAATAATGCTCTGCAGGCCAGTAGGGAGTGATTGTGAAAGCAAGATGGATTCCCAGTGGGCTTTTTTGTCATAAAGGGTCGATGTAAGAGTCAAGTCGGCAACTGAGCCGCTTCCTTCTGTGATAAAAAGGAGCAGCCAACGATTGCGCTGCAGCTCCGACCTTCATGTGCGAACAACCAGCATCCAAGAGGAGCCTGAAGAGAGGTACGAATAAAAGAAAAAAAGGAAAAAAAAAGGAAAGTATTCACGCCAAACTACTGCACTTTTTCTAATAAAAGCTCAGATATGGGGAACTGTGCAGTGGTGTCCAAATTTTCTGCCACAAGGGCCAAAATCACAGACTTATAAAACTTTTTTTGTGATTAAATAGAATAATTCATGAGAAATGGCTTTCGCCTTATACAAAAGAAAAATCCTACAACTGCTAAAATCTCAGGAAGATCAGTTCGGTTTACATTTTGTGAAGAGGAACGTTGCGTTCAGTGTCTTCTTCAGAGGTTTTTGTGTCGTTCGCTTCAGCGGTTGTTGGTGCAGTGCCACCACAGGCGAGGGGAGTGTACTGCTTTCTCAAAAGGTTTGGATCATTTGGCTGGGCAGTGTGAAAGCGAGCCTCATCAGCTGAAAATGGAGCGGATGTAGCAATGTTGGACCCTTAGGCCCTTTAAGCAGTGCAATTCTAAAAGTGTAGCGCTCAAGGTGACAACATGTTGGAGTTATGTTAATTCTGATTTATGTTGACTTTTGTACAAATTTTTTTTGCATACTTGGGCAATTATTCCCTCTGGTTTTGGAAGCTGCTGGGAGGATTTTTCTGCTCTTACTAGATTAGTTGTTATGATGCCTAACCAGGGCAAGTGTTTTATTTTTTATACAGCTCATTGATATCCCCAATACTTAAATTATACCTGAATTACGGCCCTAAATCCCAGAGGATACCTTCATTTCATTTAGATGCGTTTGATTCCTTGGGGCGTCACTCTAAACTACGACTTTAGCTAAAGGAAGCTGCACTAATTCAGAATAAAGACTTCAACGTAGTGGAAATAAGAAAGAAGTCACAATGCTGAAAATAAATCAGAAGGTGCTTTGACAAATTATTTTTGGCATCATTCTTCTTTTTTGAGCTACTTCCCTTTTTTTTTTTTTTTTTTTTAAAAAAAAGACTTGATAGCACAAAGACGTCTTCCAACATGACGATGTTAAATCTAAACTCCTCGCACTTTAGTAAAATAAAAGGAGAGGCTACATTTTTAGCTTATTCCTGATACCATTTATAGACCAGGGCTCTGATTTGATACTGGTAGGACACACTGTAAAGTCTGATGGTTGCCTAGACACAAAACAACAGCCCAAAAGAAATGTTGTTTTGTTTTTGTTTTTTTTAAATCACAAAAGTGTGAGTAAAAGAAATCTATCAAAATTGCCAGTAAAGCTTTTAGGAAACAACAAAAATACAGAAGTAAGTTTCACATCTCGCCTCCTGCAGTAACGCCACCTACTCGGTTATCACCTGTTAGTTAAAAATAAACAGAATTTGAACTTAGTACTTGGTTGGGGCTTGGTTCGGAGATTCTGTCACATTTCCAGGACTATAAACGTGTTTGTTTTTATAACAGTAGAGAACGGAAAAGAAAAAAAAAAAAAACAATAAAAGACGCCGTCTCGTTGATAGATTAGATGAGTACAAATGAATTTCTAACAGCACTCAGATAAGGTGACCTTTGAACTGCAGACGGACACAACACCAGTATGGAGTCTGACCTTAAGCAAACCTCACAGGACTGAATGTAAAGAACATTTCTGATGCAGGTTTGTAACTGAAAACTGATCTTCAACTTCTGCACTGCCGTCTTATTTCCAAGCATATCCCAGTATTTCGTTTATTTATTTGCTGCATTTCATGTAAGTTTTGTGACTTAATTTTTACTTGGACCCTTCTGTCATTTTCCATTTTATGTTAAATGTAAACATAAATTGAACTGAATTTTACATCCGGTTGGTAATTACTGATCACTGTTTACATGTTTGCTTCTTTTTTATTCCTTAATTATGTTTAATCCAGACGCAAGAGTGAAAAACATTGTCAGAGCTTTTTTCTTTTTTCTTTAACTGGGGATGGGATGGGTATAGAAAAAACAGATTTATATTCAGTTTATTGGCAAAAGTCTCTCTAGTTACTTCCATGCCATTTAACAGACAAACATCTAAAAGTTAAATTGTGGCTGGTCACAAATGAAAAAGTATAAGCTGTCAACAAACAGCTTCTTTAGAAATTAGTTTCGTTTTCTTCTCGTTTGTCCCACTTGTTGACTGTGTTCAAACACATATGCAATTGCTTGTTTGCGACCAACACAAGAAGAGTTTCCTTCCACTCAACTTTACAGTACAGCACAGAGTGTCAAAAACTGTCTGGTGGACAAATGCCAAGGCAGCACTGCTTTCAGCAATTATAGAAACTATAACGGAGAAAAAAAAACATAACATTTCTGCAATAAAAATCCTTTTGTTGTTACTCTTCAGCAGTGTTGCATTTTTCTGAGAAATTGTTTTTTGGGGGGGTTTTTTTGGTCTGAGATAGCAAATAATCCACTGAAATCTATTTTTGTGTTTAATTAATATGCTCAGTTGCTTGAAGGACTGAATTACAGAAAGTTTTTTTAATGCCACTACAAATGTATTGCAATGCACCTGATTGTGTCAAATATGAACAGGAGTGACTTAAGACAGGAAGGTGGGTTGGTCTTAGGAAGGAGTTGCCAACTAGAAGCTACACATTAACCAGTGTTATTTCTAAGGATTTTTTTTTTTAATAGTCATCGCTTGTCACTGTTTGTCAGGAACAAAAGTGGGAAAACAGACATTAAAGTGGTAAAAAGTAAACACAGAAATGTTGAAAACGTGAGTACGTGTGCAAAAAAATTACAAAATTTACATCGAGTGAATTTTGAAAACGTCTTCCACATGCTGTTAACTAAACATCAACTTTAGAGATGCACAGATCATTCTTTTCCTGGTAAACGCCACTTTTTGTTTTTAAAGGAAATAAAGTAAAATCAAACAAAACTCGCAAGTTAGTTGATTTTCTTGAAACTAAAACAAAAAAGTTTATCAAAGTACAAGCCGATTATAAACAGAAAGCTGAAGAACTCTGAGCTTTTGATCAAGAGAAACAATATTTTAAAACCACTGATGGCCAATTAAAGCAGATGGAGGGAAAACAAATGGTGGCACCTTTTGTTTTTCTGTCCAGTTTATAGGTGCATTCTCTGCAGTGTGGATGTGGGAATTTAAACAGTGTTTAGTTCCTCTTACTTAATTGCAACAGTTAGTTGCTCTGTTTTAACAGACATCCACAGACTGTTCAGCAGAGTAACAATACGCCTGTAAACAGTGTTTGCGGTGAGTGTTTGGCTCTATAACCAATAGCTTACACCACAGAATGTGCCTATTGATGATCAAGCTGCGCAGGCGTACTAATCAGAACCTGTTTAGCCACCCTAGAGCTGCAAAATTAATGCTAATCCTTCCAGATTCCTGCAGCATTTTTTTTTTTTTTTTTTTTTTTGGCAAAGTGCAGACAGAAGTCAGAGCCGGACGAACTTGCAAGTTCACCAGTGCATTTTGTTTGGTGTGCAACCAAAACATTCAGCAAGTTGATGGAAGCGTCTTAGCTCCTGCAGGAGGAGGGCGGACTAATTGAAAATAAAATGTAGGTTTGTACCTTAGAGCGGACAGCGCGGTCCAACGCAGCCATCATCTCCTTGGTTGGGAAACCTTGCTAGGCTCACGCGGGGTCGTTGAGTGGAGGCAGAAGAAGAAGAAGTAGAAGTAGAAGAAGAAGAGGACGAGGGAGGTGAAGGGGGCGGGGAGGGGGGCCACTGTCCCTGACGCCGATCACGTCCACGTTTTCTCCCCGCTGTGCCGCCGCCGCCTCTCCTGTCAAAGACCCCCCAACACATCCACGCGCAGCAGAGACATGGTGCTCCCACCCCGCCGGAAGTGGCGTCATGAGTGACGGCGCGGCAGGGAAAGACGAGAAAACACACACACACACAGACACACCCTCCGTCGACACACCTACAGTTTCAGCGAATGGGAGCAGAGCAGCTGCTTCCTTTGTGAAGGACGCCCCCTAACCACGAACCACTGAAGCCCCTCTGCTCGCTGAAAGGACGCGGAGCCTGCACTCACTGCTAGCAAGGAGAGTTGCACAACAGCAGGCTAACCAGTTGCAGAAGGAGTCATAAACACTTGAGAGCACAGCCAGAGAGAAGAGTTTATGTCCGACTGCGTGAATTTGTCTGGAGGAAGATGTAGAGATGAAGCCGGAAGTCAAGTGGCTCTCAATAACTTTGGCAAAATGAAAAATAAAGAACCAACTAAATAAAGATGTAATATAAAATCCAAGCTTTAACAGTTTATAATTTTTGTTTGATTAAATAACTGGATGAAATGTCCACAAAAAATGACTCCAAAACAACCTTTTTTTGTCATTAGGTTGGGAATGATGAGCTTATTTTGACGATTCCTAGCGCTATCAGCCTACAGACATAAACTTAGAGAAAATTAAGGATTTTAACAGCATTTTCTACAAATACAAACATTCCATAGAAGAAAATATTTTTGCAATATTTTGAGGGTTTTCGCTTTTTTTAAGAAAAACGAAATAAAGTTACGATTGAAACGCAATAACACATTTTTACAGTAGATATTTATCAGAAACTATTAGCTGCTGTTTTTTTTTTTTTTTTCAAAATTTGATGTAACATTTGTGCCCCTAAAAAAGTTTTATTTAGCTGGACACGGGGTTGTGGACCTCTGCATACTTTTCAGTTGTTGCATTTCAATTTATCCTCCTCTCAGGGATAAATTCACCAGGTATCAGTTGCAGATGTAGCAAAAGGACACATTATGCAATCTAAAACTGATCTTCTAGTTGTGGGCCGCCTTTCCTTTCCTCGTCAGAAAACCAGGGCCTCTAAAGCACAGAACTGTAGAAATGTGAAATGGCTCCAGAGAAATCACGCTGCGCTCGGCTAGAGAGGCGAAGTGTCGTCACTTTTCCAGATGCCTTGGCAGGACACTGTGATTCATGTGTTGAGATGATCAGTCTGCAGGTCTGCTATTCTTGTGCAAAAAGAAAAAAGAAAAGAAAAAACCTGGACAAAGTCACAGCCAGAGAGCTAATTCCTCTCCACTCTGGCAGCAGAGCCAGATTATGAGGACTTCCAGTCAAACTGTTGCAATGAGCTGCCTCCTAATGAAGCAGCCCTGATTTCTCAACTCAGACCAGATGCTGAGTGCGCAGCCCTGCCCGTCAGTCTGTCCGGCCGTGTGTCCTCACTGCATCCCCTCTCTGAGCTGCATGCTCTGTCCTGTGGCTGCTGGTCTGACATTTGGCACAAAGCCATCGGACTGAAGTGAACACAGAGGATGTGCTCTTAAAGCTGCAGCATGTAACTTATATTAACGTTATCTATATATATATATATCTATATATACATACATATTTATTAAAGCTGCTACTATGTCAACAAAGTACATTATGAGACAGATAACCTGTGAAAAGAATGCATCTCCTCTGCCTTCCTCTGTGGTTCTACTGCCATCTGCAGAAATACACAACTCAGTCAGAAACAACCAATCAGAGCCAGGAGGAGGGCCGTAATGCTGTCAATCACCACTGTGTATGTATTTCTTCCTTGCCGTTACACTACAGCTACTTCGCCACACTGGACACCCCGTAGCTACTCAGGCCAGTTTTTGTTTTTGTTTTTTGTTTTTTTTTTGCTTTCAGAAATCGTCTTTGAATGTCCTAAAAAGCTCAATATAAGTTTGATGAATTATTTTTAGTTAGCATGTCCACTGACGATGGCGGATAAAGTTTTCCATGTCGTTTCTCCACCATTAGCACACTTTTCAGCGTGTACATAAGCATGATTGGCAGCACTGTGGCCCTCCCCCTCTCTCTGATTGGCTGTTTCTGACTGGGAGCGTCGCATTTGGAGGCAACAGATGTTGATTCTTTCACAGATTGTCTCATTTCACAACACGGTGACAGTTTTAACAAATATGTAAAAACAGAAAAAATTCAAACAAATAAAACATTATAAAAACATTACACTGCAGCTTAAAAGATGTTGATTATGACCCACAGCAACACTCCTCTGTGACTTTTTATATTTTGTTGCGGAAAAACACCGACACTAAACTTAAAGCTGGAACACAACAGATCAGTTCAAATCATATTTTTTTACTTTGGAACGGTCCAGTCAAAGCCTAGACCTAAATCTAACGGAGAACCTCTGACAAGATTTGAAGACGGTTGTCCACAGATCCTCTGAATTCGACCTAAATAAGCTAAAGCAAACCAGAGTGACCGAACGTTCAAACGCTCCGACATGACCGGCAGCAGTGAAAGAGGATTCTATGATAGCATAAATACACACCGCACATTTGTTATTTTTAAAGAAAAGAAAAAGAAAAAAGAGCTTTTATTTTTCCTCCCACTTCACATTTTGTGTTGGTCTATTAAGAATCTGAAAAAGTTCAAAAGGTGCGCATGTCTTTGTGAGGTTGTGGAGCTAATGCTTTTAATGATGACCATAAATTCATTGACTGACTACTTATGAACTCTTTGACCTTTCAGATGCATCTGAGGTCGCCTCAGAAGGTCAACTTACTCTTCAGACTCTTTCTTGCATTGATCATTTCCTCGTCTGCAGCCCAGGATCTGTTCATGAATTTAACAAACTATATGCGAACTTTCAACCTTTACGTCCGACTTCTGTCTGGTTGTTTTTCTTCTTTGTGTCTCGACGTCTGTCGTTTGTTTTGTTGTGTTTCTGCTGCCACTCACCTGTTTGTTCGTCCTCCTCCTGCTTCGTGTTCGTCTCTCTGTTCAGGTTAAATTCTCTCCTTGGTTCTCAAATCTGTAGCAGCCAGACATTTTTTTTTTTTTATGTCCCCCGGCTGGTTATCTATTTCAGGATCAATAAATGTTATATTTGCCCTCCATTGGTTGACTTCCTTGCTTGCTCAGCCCTTCCCTGAGCGTATCCCAACCAATCAGGCATAACATTATGACCCGATGTGACTAGATGTCTGGGTCAGAGTAGCTCCAAAACTGCAACTCTTGTTCTGCGTCAAAAGTTTTTGGAATGTAGGACATCTAAACGCCATCTTTATTTGTCCAAAATTGTCATTTTGGAGAAACTTTGGAATTAAAGTTAGCTTAGCTTAAATTACCCTTTCAAAGGAAAGTAAAAATAACCTCATATGGCAGTCATTTAAATTTCTGACTTTTTGGGAGCAAGTGTCAGTCTAAAAAAACTCCTTTCAAGACTGTTAGTACTGTGGAAAAGTTTTAATTTATTCATATTTTCTAGATTTCTTTTTTTTTTTGGTGGACTATAATAATGTTCAATCCTGAACAGTTTGCAGAGGAATGCATTTTGCTAAGCTAAGCTATTAAATCATAACTGTTATGAAACAATTCAGAAAATCCTTCCAAAGCTCAAGAAATGTACAATTGTTCTGTCACAATCTGTTTATTATTGTAAAGTGAACAAACAAAGGTGATGTAGTGTGACGGAAATAAAACAGCATTTCAACGCAATGTTCATTTCAAATTCAAAAACACTTTATCAACCTTAACGGGAAATTAAACGTTGTAGCTTATATCACACAATGAACAGATGCTGATGCTGCTGTGGGCAGACAGCGTCTCCTGTAGCAGTCTGTTTCACAACGGTGCCTCTGACTGAACACGCTGCTGTATAATGCGGTGATTTCCAAAGAGGTTTAGGGTGAAAAAAATTTGCTGAGTTTTTTTTTTTTCTTTTCTCACTTTGAACTTTTATTTGTCATCCAGTTCACTTAATTTTTTTAGGTGCATGTCTGCTGCACAGAAGAAAAAATAAACAGAAGGACAAACGAACGACTTCCAAAACTCTGGAGGGAGACAGAGTTTTATGACTGAAACATCATAAGAACACAGAGAACTTATGGCTGGTTTCGATTATCGGTCGCTCGTTAACGCGTTTACGCTGCGCGACTAATTTTCCCAATCGATGGATGATTTAAGTTTCGGAGCGAATCGCCACACGGCGTCTTTCTGAAAAGTAAAACATGATTAGCATCTGTTGGAGTTTGTATTTCAGTGTTCTTCCAAACTGTTTCCGCAGTTTCTTGCCTTTGACGGAGCGCTGCTGTTTATCTTATGATCGTCCTCAAGATTACTTGAAGAATTAATTGAAATAAAGCCAGAATACGATCAAGCTGGGAGATAAACAGCGTGGTCTGGTTTTAATCTCTCGTTTCAGTTCTCGTTTCTTTCTTTCTTTCTTTTTTTTTGGAAACACTTGCTCTGTTTCGTCCTGCACTCAAAGACCTTCTCTTCCTCTTCTTCTTTTGCCAGCGATTAAATATTTTGCAACATCATCGGGGGAATAAACGTCTCCGTGTGTTTCCAGGGGGTTTCTGAGCGGCGAGCCGCCGGTCGAAGATGATGATGATCATCAACTCTGGAGGGAGACAGAGTTGATGATGATGATCATCTTCGACCGTTTCTCCATTTGTCTCTCACAAATGGAGAAACTGTGCATCTCGTTCCAGCGGTCGTACGGCAGAGATTCAGTCTCTTCAGTAAACCCTTTTCAATACATTTTAATTACAATCCTGCTGACGGTTTTAAAGATTTATGAAAAATATTCTATTCTATTTATCCAATATATATATGCTCAGGTGCTTAAATGTGGTAGCAGCAAAACAAAGGTTAAACAAAATGTCTATCAAAGTATTGTTTTTTTTTGTTTTTTTACAGATCACATGTATTTGTAAGACACCAAACATCAGATACAGCTGGAAGGATGTCAAGATGGCGTCTATGAAACATTTGATTTTAATTTCATTAAAAACAATGAGCTGTAAGGAATATAAAACTCCCCGTCTTTGTCGCCAAGCATGTTCAACACATGTTGCAGAAACAAAAGTCTATCCAACGTTACGGTTTCTCTCTCGCAGCAAACTATTTCTTAAATAACAATACAAAGAACAGTGAAACATGGCATGAAACTCATCCTCAACCATATTAGTAAAAATTAAATAAAGACATTTACCTGATCTTATCTGAGCACACAGATCTTTCTATATTTTTAATATTTATTTCAGTAACTCTTTATTTGGCAGGGTGAGCATAAGACTGACAACATCTGTCATGAACATGAATGAGTCTTTATGAATGCCTGACTGTTGTCATGAAGTGTGATTTGGTAAATAATGACATTTTTATTGCAAAGTTGCCCCAAGAGTTGCTTTAAAAGTCCATTAAAAGGCTCGACTTTGCACTATTTTATAAATAATGACACTTTAATGCAAATTTGGCACTTTATTTCTAACTTCATAAATATCTCGGTTTGAAACACGCCCTGATTTAGGATCTGCGTTTGGATTTTCTTGCACATTTCCTGCCACCGCTGATCTTTAGAGTAGAACAGAAAACAGGCTTTAGTGTCCTGCAAAGGGGGAAATAATCAGCCATTGGGCATAAATATTTACATAAGAAAAGTTCTTAAATTATTAAAAAAAAACAATACTTATAATAAAAACAATGATCGTAATAATAATATATTGTACAAGATTATAACAGAAAATACCGTGCAGTTATTAGAAATAAAATCATCGGACTCACGATTCAAGGAATGTGCAGCTGAGTCGGATCAATAAGTTACTCAAATAAATATCCTTAAAATTCAGTTTAAATTGGAAAATAAAGTTTTTTTTATTGATTTAAACACAGTAAGTGAATTTTACAGTTTTACGTTGTAAAACGTCAGACAGGGAAGTTAATTCTCAACTGCATGACAAAAAGTGCTGTGTCAAGAGAGAGTTACGACTCAACGCGCGTTAGCAGAGATATTAGCTGCACTACATCGAGCGCCTCTGTTTTCTCAATCTTCGCACAGCATGGAGAAACATCAGGTTGTGAGGATACAGCTTGTTGCACCACTCCTGCCGAGGGCAGACAGTCCGCATGCAGTAATAATCTCTGGTCAAGACCGACTGTCTGGACAGCAGCTGCTTTCATAATTAAGGGAGACCTCGGAGAGCTTTCCACATCCAGATGATATAGGGACAGCTGCACCCCTCCACCCCCTCCATCCACTCGGCTTGCTTACAACACGTCTCTGCCTGAGCTGAACCCGAGAGCAATCAGGCAAAAAGAAAGAAAAGAAAAAAAGAAAAGAAAAAAGAATTCTGGAGAAGCAGCAAATGAGAAGAAGTCATGATTGGTTTTGAAAGGAGAGATCGCTGAACGTCAGGGATTTGCCAGAAGCTGCTGCAGCAGACTGACTCACTCCGAGGCGCTCTGGGTTCCTCTGATTCACGCTGAACGTACCAGTTAAAAACAAACAAACAAAAAAATAAATAAAGACAGTGGGACAGCTGTCAATGTTTCAGCTGTTTGGACGTCTTCTCCTGTCCTAATCCTAATCCGAAAATTATTTTGAGTATGTGGAGGGTCACTGCAGGTCACGGTGAGACCCGAATTCAGCTGAGACGCTTCTGCTGCCCCCTGGTGGTGCCAAGGAACGATAGGAAGTTGCACAAATACCGACTGCTTAAGTTTTGCCCTTTGAGTACTTTTTCCAACAAACAAGACCTTTGTTAATAAAAAGGAAGGAAACGCAATGACTGACATGTCACTCAAATAACAACAAAAGTAAATTGAGTAACTATTATTTTTTATTTTTTTCCTTTGGTTATCACATTTCATAGGGATAAAAAAAATGCATATTTGATCAAATCAGAGCATTAAAGAGTCTAAAATTTTATAATTAAAGAACATTTCCAACAGAGCACTGCAGGAAAAAAAGTACTTTTGGTCTAGTTTCTAGTGCAAATACCTTAGTGGACTTAAAATAAGGCAACATTGATGTACAAGTAAATTTTCAGCAAGATGTAGGAGCTTGTTTCAAATCAATGATTCCTTAAAAAATGCAAGTTCCACTGGGAGGTTATTTTATTTACAACAATGTGCTTAATTTAACCACTTAGCTTATTTTATGCAATATTAAGAATATGTAAGAAATGCAAATAAATAATTCAACTCTTTTTTCTAAATAAGAAGTAACTTTTTATTGCCTAGCATGCACTAACAGAGCAAGCATTCTTTTAGTGTGTGATTCATCATTTATAGCAAAGGATGCATCTGCAGCTAAAAATAATAATAAATATTTAAATAAACCCTTTCTGCTTCACTTAACACCAGTACAGCATAGGGCTGATTTTATTATTATTAAAAATGATTAATAAATGGACAGCAAAAGGTGCTTAATAGGAGAATTTTATAGAGCTGAGGTGAAGCAAAAACTATGACACTCGAGGCATTCTGGGTAGAAATAATTTGCTGTCAAAATAAAGTGCAAAGTTGATAGATTCTTTGCACAACTTTGGCTTAATTACTGCTCCAACAGTGTTGCTTTTCCAGCAAATAGGCAATTAATCGATTACTAATTAGTAATGAATCGTTTATGACGAATAATCATTTCACCTCGATAAATCAGATCGTTTCATACCCAATATATAAGATTTTAAAGATATCTATGGGTCACCACTAGGTGGTGCTCTTGCCATGTGTTCGGAAGTGAACCGGCCTTGGAAGGTGATGATGGCACTGAAGTTATACTTTGCATATATTAACCGGTTCGTATAAACGCACTCGGTGTTTTTTAGCTGGCATGTCGTTTCTGGGAGCAGCGTGTCAAACCGCGCCCGTCTCTCTCTGCTCCGCTAGTTTATTTGAGGGACCTGCCCACACACAGGCTTCAGTCCTATCCACTTACATTCAATCAATAGCACTTCTCTGTTTCTACAGCTCTGACATCATAGAGGCGTTCAAGTAGAAGGAAAAAAAAAAAGAAGCTGCGGGGATTATTCTCTTCGATTTCCAGGCAAAAGGAAAAAAACCCGACCTCATTATTAAATTGTGACTCGTGTATTTTATATTGAGTATCGAGTGCATTTCATTAGTTCCTCGCCGTACGAAGAGGGGAAGAGAAAAAAAAGAGAAGAAGAAGAAGAAGAAGAAAAGCACATCCCAGGGTGGACTTCTCGAAGCGGCGAGGCAGGAGAGGAGGTCATGGATGGAGGATGGCCTTTAGAGATGGAGCCCCAGAGGCAGGTTGCACACAGAGTCTTTGTTTCACACGACTTCAGCGGCTCGGCTCCCTCCGCTCTATCGTCGTGGCTCAGGCTCAAATCGATTCAATATGGTGGCTGGTGGGTTGGTGATGAGGGGCGGGAGAGGGGGTGGGGGAGGAGGACAGCTACACGGAGGGTGCAGCACTCACGCAAAACACACCCAGGACCGGTCTAGACACAAAAGCAGAATCCAAACTTCACGCTCCGCTAGCAGCGGCGTGGTGTTAAATAAATCCTCTCGTTGCGTCAGATGCTTAAGGAGATTGCGTAACTTTCTCAGCTTGTGCAAATGAGCTCAAAGGAGGAATTTTTTTTAAAGTGTATTTTTAAGTGTTTATCTCTGACCCAAAGGTTATTTAAGCGATAAGTGAAAGTAGATGGGGTGAACGAGGGCTCGACCTTGATACGAGATACGGGGCTGCGCTCTCAGACGGTGAGGCAGGTGTGATGCCAAACTTGGCCCAACACCGTCTGGCAGCCGCCTCGCTATCTGTGAGAGAGAGAGAGAGAGAGAGAGAGAGTGTGTGTGTGTGTGTGTATTTATGTGAGCCGCTGGCCAGAGGGAGAGCGAACACTGTAACCCTCATCTGCTGTCGTATGAATCACGCTGGAGCCCGGGAGGTGAGACGGGCCGAGGCTAATGTTTCCATCTGCTCTGCTAGAAGGTTTTAGGACATGACTTGGCTGCTGCTTCATGTCTGAACCGGATCTGGGGTCGTATCCTGACTTTACCCCCACATCTTCTCAACAGGTTTATACAGTTCAGGGTGTTTGAAAGTGAGGCTGTGTTAAAAGATTTCCACCCAAATTGTGATAACTTGCCTTCATTCACTACAAATCCAGATCAGGTAGTTCCGGAGGCTGAAGCTAACGATGACAGCGGACTTCCACTGGACCGAATAATGTCGTAAAGCAAACAAGGTTTCACAAAGTTTTTAACCGCCATTACATTTGGAGTAGGCGGTTATTTACAAGGAATGATGGGATGGATCACTGACAGGAAATTGAAGCTGGAGGCGGTGCGCCACCAATGATCTTCCTATGTAGAAAAAAAGAAATGCACTGAGAGCGGAATACATGAGGCATTTGCCATTACATATAAAACAATTAAATTAAAGCAACTTAAAACTCAATTAAATCCCCTGTACTGAAACCACAACGTCTTCGCTTCTTCAGATAAACCTCTTGTACTAAGGGTAATACATGTGAAGCGTTTCCAGTCCAAGTTACTGTTTTACAAAAAAGGCAAAGCAGTGTAAAAATAAATAAAATAGTCTTCCCCTATAATACAACAGTATTAATTGCATTTAGATATTTTCACCGTTTCTGTGACCAGAAACACAAACTGTTTCGTTTCTGCCAGACGTTTTAGACGTCTCAGTGTTTGTTTGACACAGGAAGATCATCAGTGGCGCACCGACTCCAACTGACATTAACAGCCCAATACAAATGTGAAAAGGCTTAAAAGGTTTAGAAATGCATTTTCACATGATCTCTGATTAATCATTAACTTTTTAAGATAGTTGTTAACTTCAGGCTGCAGGTTGACATAGTGAACCGTGTATAACATGTTCATAGTAAGTGTCTAAGGTTCGGTTTCATCGTTAACGTTGCATTTAGGACTTAGAACAAGAGAGCAAATTTGTTTCAGAAAAAAGGCTGAAAATGAACTAACAACTGGATGGACACTTGTCAGCTAATCTAGATTTATATCAAATTAGGAAGAAATTAGGAAGTTATCTCCCATAAAAACCCTGAACTTAACCTTCATCCAAGGAATGTTTAGTTGCATAGCACAATTTCAACATTAAGGCAATTCAAAGTGCTTAAACATTACATTGCCGTGGCAAAATAAGTGGGAAAACGACAACGGGTTAAACACAGACCAGAGTATACGACGTTCCAGTTATTATTGATCAAAGGTAGCTTTAAACAAAATAGTTTTTAGCCTTGATTTAAAGAGAACTCAGTGTTTCGTCAATTTTCCGGTTTGTTCCAGATTAGTGGAGCATTTAAGGAATGTCATGGATAATGCATGACAAGAGGAGTTTCAATGTCAGCAGTAGTTTAGAAATCCATTCTGTGCACACTTGTCCATGTAGGGTCAGATGGGATCTGTTGCCATTGGGAAAGAGGGGTGCGACTATGCGCGCGCGCGCGCACACACACACACACACACACACACACACACACACACACACACACTCAAACCTAAGATCAATTTAGATCTTAGATTTGAACCCAGGACCTTTTTGCTGCAAAGCTACAGCGCTACCAACCGCTCCACCATGTAGCCCTAGCTTAAAAACCATTACCAGCAACACACAACATTGAATGTTAAATTAAATAAGCACACAGAGCATCTGAGATTTATGATCTATTTTCTTTTTATTTTGGTTTGTAACAAAAAATAGGGAAAAAAAGCCTTTACCTGCTGCTAATATTGCACCGCTGACAATCAAAAGCTGCTCTCCAAGCTAAAGGCGGCTCAGTGACTCAAACTGGTTGGGTCTGTTGGTTTCTGTATGGTGTAGGATTGCTGCCCTTCGGGGAAGGCAGTAGGTTGTATAGTTATCTCCTGATTGGGCAAAATCACTACCCCGAAACCACACAACCTACTACCTCACCCCGTACGAACATCAGAAAAGGCCCTACGCGTTTGCCACAGAACTCAGTGATCTCTAACAAACGTGTGTTCTTTCAGCAACAGGAACCCGACATCCTCATACGGTCTTTTTGTGACACTTTAATTTCTATATTTCACAAAGGAACAGTTTTACACACTGTAGAGGAAGACAACAGGTAAAATTGCAACGACTGTCTAAAACAAGAGCTTTTAACTTGAGAGCAAAACCACCAAAGGTTACCACAAACCGTTTGCAACTAAGGTTCAAAATCCTGCATCCCGGTTAGATCCTGTGTCCAGTCTGTCCGTAAAGCTTGTCATTTCCGGTGTTGAGCCGGTTTCAGAGTTCTCTGGCGCTGGCGTCTGACGACATTACAGCCACTTCAGGAAAGACAGTAAGTTGTATAGTTATCTGACAGAAAGGGTGTGACCCCTAAAACTATACAACCTACTACCTCACCCCAAAGGACAGTCTTGAGGTAAAAAAAACAACAACAAAAAAAATAAAAAACAAAAACACAGCTTTCTCTCTCTCTGCTCCCGCCTGCGTTCATGCCTGTAATCCACTTCGACACACTTCGCTGAATGCAAAGCAGCAGTTATGATTCACAGAAACACAAACACGCGCGGCGCTCTCCTCTGGGACGCGGCACCGTGAAAGGAGCCTGTGTGTGGAGAGCACAATGTGACAACTGGGTCTTCGAGTTCATGGCTCAGGCTGAAGGGGAATTCAAATGATCTGACTGGGGCACCCATTTCCCAAACAAATTGCGTGGGCAGAGATATTTTCACATTCAAATGCAACCTGTAGGCAACGTATATGCTGCAGGCGTAATTGGAACCAATAGGTTTAACCACAAAAGTATAGCAACGTTTAGTAAGCATTACCTCCTGATTGTCCCACTTTGAGTTTACGTATAAAACGTCGGTGGAGCTGATTTAAATCACAATTAGATCAAATCAACACAAGATGATTGAGAAGGTTTTAAATATATTCATACCTGCTGTCATGTCGCAAACACAAACCTCAAAGGACTTTGTTGGTATTTTGTGTGATATATCGACATAAAGTAGTGCTTAATTAAGGAAAATAAATGCACGACTTTTACAAATAAAATAAATAGCGGCGTGATTTTAGCATGACTTTGCTCCAATACTTTAAAAATTTGTTAAAAAAGTCACTAAGCCCATTTAAATATTTCCCAGCTGGACAATTATTAGTTTGTAATTTGATTTTGAATAGATATTTTATTAGCTTGTTAATTTCTTAATTGCTCATGTTGGTGTGTTTGTAATTTTATTCATTTTGTTTAGTTGAAACAGGTCCGTCTTGTAAGAGAGATTTTGGATCTCAATGAGACGACCTGTAGAAACAAAGGTTTTTAAAAAAACCAAACAGTTAAATAAAACTATAAAAAGTGCTGTTTGTACAGAAAACACACGTGGAAAAAGAAGCTCTGGTTCGATGAGACCAAAACTGAACTTTTTCCACTGTAAAACACGGCAGTGGCGGTATCATGCTACAGGGGAGCCAGTTCTCCAGCAAGAACAGGCCAAAGGCAGAGAGTCGTACAGAGTTATGAAGTAAAACCTCAGTCCAGGTTGGATGGAGAGTGACGGCAAAGTCTTGTCACAGATTCTCATATGGATTTAGGTCTGGCCTTTGACTAGGCCATTCACATGAATATGCAATAATGGAAACCATTCCGTTGTAGTTCCATCCATCTTAGCACCGACTTTGACCAACTTCCTTGTCGTTGCTGAAGAAAAGTGTCCCCACAGCATCATGCTGCCACTGCCATGTTTCACAGTGGGGATTGTGTTGATCACAGCACAATGTTTTCACGACGCCCCCTGCAGGGCAGGTGGCAAACTGCAAACAGCAATGGCTGCTTTTATGCCGAGATTAAATCATACACAGGTGGGCTCCATTTATTAACTAAGTGGCACTAATTGGTGGCGCCAGATTGTATTTAAAAATATTACAGAAAATGGGGTTCAGCACAAATGCACACCACACTTTTCAGATTTTTATTTGCAAAGAAATCCGAAAGTCATGCATCGTTTTTTTTTGTATCATTTCAGGAGCCGCTATCACAAAAACACACTAAAGTTTGTGTTCGTAACACGACGGAACGTGTGGACGTTCAGGAGATCTGAACAGGTCCGCGAGGCGTTGTTGGAGCAGTGCAACGTGCACAACGCTCTGCACGGTTTCTTGTTTCCTAGAGCTGCTTTTCTTTGTTTCCAAGACAAGAAGAGCGTTAACATTGCTGAGAGGGTGGCTGAGCTCAACAGAGCTCTCATCCCGGGCCACATGTGTGGAGCGCAGGGCCACAGCTGCTGCCTCTGTTAATGCTTCTCACCTGCTCCATAACATGTGGCGGGGAGCGGCGATGGGGGCGAACGGGGTCGGCTGGCCTCCCGCCTCCTCCACCTCCCGCCCCGTCATGGTTTCAGCAGCACATCAGGTAGTCTTCATCTAAAAAAAAAAAAAAAAAAGAAGAGGGAAGAAAAACCCAAGAGGGAAAATCTGTTACTTCTGTAACAAAGGAAATGGCGAAATATTTCAACATGATGACTTTTAGATTTGACGTCTGTGAGATCAATTACAAACACCCCAGAGGTTGTCAGCTCATACAGGGGGGTCGAGTGGGGGAAGTGTGATCTGTTCTTTTCTTTCTTAGGAGTGAACATGCTTTTCAACTTTCCTCGCAGCCTGATTGATTTTCTTTTTTTTTTTTTGTGGTAAGCCAGATCAGGCATGGCCGATATCTTATATGCTGCTTGACAAACACCACGCCATTCTCCGTGTTTACTCTGTGCACAAACACACCGCCGAACAAAAAGTCATGCTAGGGCGGCCTCGGCCGGCACGTACTCCTGGAGAACTAGTACCTATATGCGAGGGAACAAACGTACAGCACAGCACGTTACAGAACGGTATGTCTTGAGCTGAGAGGCCCCATTGTGTCTGCTCAGTGGCGAGCCTGAGCCTCCCTGCATTATTCAACGGTGCCTTACTTACACCATAGCATTGTGGATTGTAAGTATGCACAAGCACAGACCCGTAGAGACACAAAAGGAGCGTGCTGACACTCTGCAGATGGAGATAAGCTGACAGGGGACGAATGGAAACGCAGAGTACGCGCACACTTAACAGTAAATCAACCAGAGATGGGGATCCGTTTCAAGATCTTGCTGCTAATTCTAATTAGAGTTTAGATTGGGCCTAAAACATCCAGCCGAACCCGATCTGACCCGACTGATTAACTTTAATTAGAGGGCCAAAGTAAGCCCCACTTATTGTGTTAATTACACTTTTACTGCTTTCAATTGTAGAGCTTAATCTGATTGAGCGGTGCAACTTCTTCTGCTTTTAGCTTTTGTTTAGCATCTTCCAGCTCCATTTTGGTGCTTGTTGTAACCGCAGGGTGAGTCAGGTGCACGTCATCTGGGATGTGTGACTGATAGGAGCGAAGTAGGGCGGGGCTGCGTAACCCGCTTATTGTGGAGTGTGCACAGTTTGTCTGAAAAGGTTTTTTAACCAGCCCATATTGTACTTCAGCAGATGCAAAAAGAAATCATCTGTTGGCCGGAATATGTCAATTATTAGTTTGATCGGCTAAACTCAAAAATCCAATATTTGTTCTGATTGGTGAATAGACCAGACTAGAGCTGCACAATATATTCAATTGAAATCATCATCGCAATACGTGTAATATTCCAAAGTAATGCATTCATGAAATGCATCCCAGCAAGATTTTTGACCAGCTGAACTCCTCATCACTGTGCATACCAGACAGAAAATATAGGTAAGTGAAAGATTCATTCAGACTGTGAGAGAGCAAGACTTTCAGCAGATAGCAGGAAGGTTGAACATGCACAGTTGCTACGTTTTATCCTTTAGAGCCATCAACCTGTGTTAGTCATGGAACATGGTGTGTGAGAGAAATTATATGAAATCCTTTGATAAACTACTTTTTCAGAATGCAAGTTGTGCTAATTGCAAACCTAAGACGCCAAAACATCGTCTGAGAATCAATTTTTCTGTTTCACAGAGACTACTCTCACACACACACACACACACACACACACACACACACACACACACCATGTGGCGTTGCCTCTGCTCGTAACATAAATAGTTAACAAATGGAGAAGACAAGAAAACAATATTGTCAGTGCTGTTTTCATATGTTCTTAAAAACTAGAACCAGCAGAAAATTATTCACCATATTCTGACTGCAACTCCTAGCGCCTTCGTTTACTGAAGCATAAAATCAGAATAATTTGTCCTGGATGCTAAAGTTAATGGCTAGACCATAGCGGACTTTCGTCAACTTAAAACAACTTTGATCTATAGCATGAAACATGAGTTCAAACAGATGGCATTTTGTGCACCTTTATAGTTTATAAAACCTTTACAGTTTTATAAAGGTGCACCACTAAACATTGGACATTGTAATTTTTTGGATGATTGCTGTATACGACCTATAAAAAGTCGAACCTGCCGATTCCGATTTTGGCTAGTTCCGATTTTTTTTTTGTCTGAAAAGTTGCTAAATATGGCAAGAAGTTGCTGAGTTAGCAACAGTTTGTTAACATGCAGACCTGATGGACCGGTCCATCAGTCAACCCTCTCACAGCAAAGCAAAACAGGTCAGTGGTGGATTTTTAGACTTTTGCCAAATTAGATAAGACTGGTGGATAAGATCGATTTCACATTTAGTTATCGGCCGATCACCAATCTCCCAAAATTAAGGGGATCTTAGCTGATTTATCGCCTGGTGCATCCCTACTTATTTACAATCATAACTGCACTTATTTTTACAGGAAATTGAAGTAGGAGACAGTGTATCGCTCATGAACTTCTAGTGTGGAAACATCTACTGAAGACTGAACATGCAACAGTTTGTGGTCCAAGTATTTACCTAATGTAAAAGCATTGCAGGGTAAAAGAAAAAGGAAAAATTATACAATTTACGTATACCGTTTACTCCACTGTTAAATCAGACAATTACTTAGACTAAAAACATGTGACAAGTAAAATCATTGTTGATGCACTACTTCCTGTCTTCATTTCCTGTATAAATAATCATCGACACTGCAAACGTGATGACTGCTTACAGGTTCATGTTTTTGCGATGAAATGTTTAGAGATTTTGGTCTTAGACCCTCTTGAATTACCTTTAATCTCTCGTCCAACCTCTCTGCACTTACACGTTAAATGAGGACGCCGAGAGAGTCGCCTGCTTCAACTATTCTGAGCTTTTGTACGACTCGATGCATAAATGGTTTGGGTTCCAAGTAAAAAATGTAAATCACGTTTGAGTCTTGTAAAACGCTCAGCGACATGTGGCCCTGACTTCATAAGGCAGGGTCAAGGCGCGCTCCTCCCAGTCTGCTGACTGGACATACTTCAGTCTAACATAGTTTATGGCTGCAGGGTCCTGGCCAGCTGAGTGCATGTTCAGGAAAGCTACTGCTTTCAAGTGAAGCCAGCTCTTATAATGCAGTGACAGAGAGACATTCACACCTACACGCAGCAGAGGACACACGCGCCCACACGCTTTTTTCACCTGAACTTCATCCACCTTAAAAGTTCAGCCTTCTCAGAAGTGTGCAATCGCAGCAAAGCGTCCCCTTCAGTCGTGTCGCCGACACGCCGCTTCCATCGGCTCCTCGGAGGTTCTGCGGTACAAAAAGTCTTCCTTTCCACACCTCGTCGTCTCGTAATGTCACACGAACGCACGAGCAACTAAACAAAGTCAACAGACGGGCTTCACGAGGACACGGTTTTAAGACAGGCGTCCGCTCGCAGTGGCTCGGCGAGGCCCCTCTCCCCTCGAGGGAGCCAGGCACAACATGATCTTCGTTTACGTCATCTCATTTTCACAACGGCGTTTGCAGCAAAAAAGGAAAAAAAAGCGCATGCTGCCTAAAAAGTCGCTGCAATTCAATCACACTTGAGTCTTGAGTGCCTCGGCGCCCATCAATCAATATCCAAGCATAGTTTGACTGCAGTGACAGTCGAGGTGGAGTGCTGTAACCCTGTAACCCGATCTGTGGGGCTCTCCAATCTCTGTGGTCAGTCTGTGTAAGGACTGTTCAGAGAAAAAAAAAAGGTACTTGTACAATTTGTGACCACTCTTTGCATCTATCTGGTTATGATTTAAGCTGTCCTGATTGAATCAGTTGTTCAGCTGAATTGCAGATTTGTAGTTGTGTTCATACCGAGTCGTACCTCTAAGGCAAATTTGATAAATTGTGCAAAGTTCAGCAGATTTTGCACACTTTATTCCTACTTTTGTTCCTTGAAGTCTTTGACATTTTCTCAGGTTGCAACCACAAACGTGGTTTTAATTATTTTATTATTGTTACTTTTTGAAAACATTTGTATTTATTGTAATTTACTCCCCCAGACTTTAGAAAGAGCTTTTACAAGGGCTGCAGCTCAGGGCCCAAATTTTTGGAGAATCCACAGATTTTTATATCTTTTTTTTTTTTGATGAATGTGTGTTTAGCAAACATTGTACTTTATACAAAACTAATAGGCCCATAGCAGGCAAGCTGCATAAATATTTTGGGATTTTTATGAATATAAACGAAACTCACATATTTGAAAATTGTAAAGTTATGGTCAATTTGTTTGGGAACAACAAGGAGCCACTGGCCAGGGAACATATTAAACCCATAAAGCATCACTTCATATCAGCTGATATATTACTTAATAATGTTCTGTAATTTGAATTAGCAACATATTTTGTTCTGAGTGAACAGGGCACCAAAACTGGTCCACATCCTTGTAAATCTGGCCCTGCTGACACCCCTAAACAAATCAAGTGCCTTTTGCAATAGTCTCCATAGTTTTTGATTCCATGTTTCTCCAGAATAAAATTTTTTCTGCAAACTTTTGTACATCTGAAACCTATATCTGAAAGTTTAAGTTCAAAATATTCACATAGGACTGCATTAAAATTATACAAAGTAAATCAGTGTATAATTTAATCTATAAATCCAGCTGTTCTGTGAAGGACTCACAATCCTGGTTTGAATGCAAATGTGGAGCCAAGCAGATGTGAAACCATTGCAAAAGCAGGAAGCAGACTGTAACGCAGTGCATTATGGGTAAATGTGACCAAAACAAATGAGCGAGTTTAGTGCTAGCGTTAGGATTGCCTTGAGATCTTTTGCCAACAGCAAAAGAGAAATGGGATAATCACTGAAATCTGACGACTCTCTATTTCTATGTAGGTTTCTTGAAGAAGGAAGTTGCGCTCATGTCTTCTTCAGAGGTTTTCATGTCATTTCCTTCAGTGGTTCTTGGTGCAGCGCCCCCACAGGCGAGATGGGGAACGGGTTTTTCAATTAGCTTGGATTGTCTGACACAATGCAGTGTGAAAGCGAACCACAGCAGCTGAAAATGTAACAAATATTGCAACCAAACCGAGTCTACCTGGACTACCAACCAGATGTGAA